TTGTTGTCCTTCAGTCTTAGTTGTGGAGGGTGCAGCTAGCTCAGCTCCAAGTCTAGTCGCCATCTGGCTGCCCAATGGCAGCTCAAGGCCACTCAGCTCAAAGTGCTGTGTTCAATCTTAGTTGAGGGTGGACATAGCCCATCATCCCATGCAGAAGTTGAACCAGCACCCTTGTTTTTAGGAGCATGTGCTCTCACCAGCTGAGCCATCCTGCCAGCTGTTGGCAGCTCAGCGGCAGCTCACCTTGGGCACAACTCACTGGCCCATGTGGGAATCGAACTTGCGATCGTGTTGCTCAGAGCTCATGCTCTTAACCAACTGAGCCACTCAGTGGGCCCCATAATGTTTTTACCATAGTCATCAATGCCTTTTTGCTATGAAAATTCAATGGATACCTCTCATTCCGTTTCTTTGTAGCATCTGGCATTGTTGACCATGTCTTCCTTCCTGAAGCTCTCTCCCCTTGGTACCACAACTTTTTTTTCTCATACCTCCCTGACTATTCTTTTTATAGGTTCCACCTCCTTTACCAATCTCTAATATATTGATATTCCTTAGGGCTCCATCCTAGACCTTCTTCTCTTATCACTATACACACTCTCCCTTAGTCATCTTATCCAGTAACTGCCTCAATTAACTGTATTCTGAAGATTTCAAAATCTTTATCTCCAACCCAGATCTCTTTCCTGAGCTTTAGACCCAGATAGTCTGAAGTTCAGTTGGACATCCCATAATCACCTCAAACTCAGAATGTCCAAAACTTAACTCACTATGTCCCTCTAAAATCTACTTTCCCCCTCTGTTTCTCTGTCTCAGTAAATGGCACCATCATCCATCTAACTCCACACAGCTATAAAAATTATTGCTTATTCTTCTGTATCTTGTCAATTCTGCCTAAGTAATTGATCACATACATCTATTTTCCTCCACCATCATCTCACTGTTGTACGGATTAGCCTCACTGCCAAAGCTGAAACCCTAACAGACACTAGCATTTAGGGAATGACTAGAGGAGATGGGAGTATGGGGTGGGGGTAGAAAAAACAGGTGATTCAGGAGACTATAACATTTCCAAAAAAATATTGCATTTTTTCCAATCTATTCACCACAGTGTCATCAGAGTGAGCTTTACAAAGTGAAAATCTGAATTTATCACTTTCTTGTTTAAAATCATTTGGCTGGTCATATGAAATAGCGTGACATAGCTGGGCCCTTCATGCTCTGGTGCATACCTACTGCTCAAGCCTCATCTCTAACCATCTCCAACTCTGTTGATTCTAAACTCCACCTTTACTGAGTTATCTGCAGTTCTTGGAATATACCATGCCCTCTCTGGCATCCTAGCATTTTCACTGCTGTCTCTACTATGGGGAACTCACCTCTACTCCCACCTGCTTTGGTTGGATAACTTTTTCATTTCTGCCTCATATACCCCTAATACATCCCTCTACTTATTAGTGTGTTCCTCACAAATCCACCAAGTTCTTGCAGTCAAGTATGATTTTTCAAATGTATTCTTGGTGTCTGTGACACCATCCACCATGTCCTCCTAGAAATTGTCTCTTCCCTTGACTTCCACAAAAAAATATTTTCTTAGATCCTCCGCATTCCTAAAAGCTGCTTCCCTTTGTCCCTTGCTGTCCTGTTCCTTTTTTCATCCCTTAAAGGCAAACATTCTATCATCAGTCCTTTTCCCTTTGCAGATTTGCTCTTTTGGTTGTCCACTCTCTTGTCTTTAACTATAAACTCCTTGTGTCAATTATCCTCACATATGTATCTCCAGCACATATCTCCTTCCTGAGCACCAGTCTCCTCTTCAGCTGCCTGCTGCTCATTGCTCTCTAGATATCCCATCTCAATTAGGTAATCATCATGTCTAAAACAGGACTCCTCCTCTTCCTCTCCAAACCACCTTCTCCTGTTTCTATTAATAGAGCTATAATTTTCCTGGCTGATCAAACTCAAAAGCAGACATGTTTGGCCCCACCCTTTCCCTCCTCATGCCTAGTCAGTCATCATGTCCTGGATAAACTCTTTTTTGTTTCCATTTTTCCCATTCCTTTTCATTCTTTCCTTTACTATCATAACTTAGTTTTTTTTTTAGGTCTTACCTAGATCCTTGCTCCTCAAAGTTTGGTCCTCAACCAGCAGCATCTGTGTTACCTGGGATCATGTTAGAAGCAGAAGCTCAGAGCTCACTCTAGACTTACTGAATCAGATCCCCAGGTTATTCGTCTGCTCATTGAAGTTTGAGAAGCACTAAGCTAGACCACATCAAACTCCTAACTGGAATCCCTGACTCTAGTTTCCTCTCTTTAATCCATCCCACAGACCACAGTTACATAAATTTCTTTCAGATCATGTCATTCTCTCTCAAATCAAACCCCTTTAATTACCACCTTAGGACTAAAGTCCACATCTTAGAAAGTAAGTCTCTCAGCCACCTACTCAGTCTATTTTCCACAAATATATTCTATATTTTAGGCTAACAGAATGAGAGATGCATTATGGCACTAGTGGAAAAGAATCTTAACCAAGAATCACACCTAGCGATGGCAAAAGCTGGTTCTATACCCTCAGGCAAAATGTTTGTCCTCTCAAGCCTTGGATTCCAATTCTGTAAAATAAGAAAGTTAGGCCAGCCTAATGTTTTTAAAGCTTTTAAAACTGTAACCCCAGTAAAAAAAATATATATGTACCTAGTATTCACATACATACATAGCTATAAGTACAGTTTCAACTGGAACAAAAGTTACACAAAATAATACTTACTCTTGCTAAGTATAATGCACTCTAATATTTCCTATTTTCTTCTCACCCATTACATTTCATTTTTTAAAATGGTCGCTAATCACCGAAATGATTTCATAATCCATGAATGGGTCAGCACTTGAAGACTGAAAACTGCTGTAGGCCCTCTAACCCTAACAATCCATGACTCTGGGATCCTCTTCCTTCAATATATCCTCCATTTTCCAGCTCCGTACCATTGTTGAAAACATTCCTTCTTTCTGTAACACCTTCCCCTATTGCAGCCTCTTGAAATGCAATGCATTTTTAAAGTTCTGGCTTAATGAAACCCCTTAAAATGAGAAGTTATTTTTTACTTCTTTGCACGTCTACAATACTAGGTCTTATTTCTTACCTGGCATTATTCACAAATGTCCTATAATAGTGTTGGTGTGTATTTCTTTCATCTTGATTTGGATGTAAGCGCCCTGAGGGCAGGAATCATGTCTTCTATGTCTTTTTGTACTTCTAAGCATTTAGCACAATGTCTGGTTATGTGAGAGTCACATACGCCTGAAAACCTTTTTTTTTCCTTTCACATTTATTCTTGCTCCACCTGTTCTTCTATTTAATCAGCACCTCCAGTTCTTTGGCTCTTCTGCTTTCTCCATAGCTATCAGCAACCTGCTATCTTCACTTCCTTCCCTCAGCTGAGACCCAGTTTAGAAACCACCGTCCATCATTTTAATCTCTCACTTGACAATCTCTTCAATTCTCTTACCCTGCTGTCTTTTCCTCTCACATATCTGGTGAAACCCCAACTCTGAATCAACCCAACTGTCTATTTTCTCTGCTCCATTATTTGAATTGCTAAGCACTGCCATTAAAAAAAAAATCCCATCATCATGCTGATAATTTAATGATTTTCATCCTCACTAGAGTCCTTAACACACTGCTAGACCCTTTTTGGTTTCCCTGGTTAGTTCTCTATCACATTCTCCGATAGCTATTTTAAAATTTCTTCACTCTTTTCAACCCCTTGTCCTCAAACCTTCCCCTCCACCCTTGCCTCCAAGAGTGGATTAGCTCCCTTATTATGAGTTCTCATAATAATCCTATTAACATGGCCATAGCCCTAATGACTTTTCATCTCATTGCCTATTTAAGTCCATACATCTTACTGGGCTTTAAGCACATTGAAAATAAGAAACACAACTTATTCATTAGTGAACCCTCAGAACTTAATATAGTACTAAGTATTCAATATGTATTTCTTGAATGAATCAATCAATAAATGAATACACACATATAAGTTAAAGGAATGAGTACATCATATACAAATCTTATATGGTTAAATGCCAATCAATTAATTAGTGCCAATAAAACCTGAGGGAGTGAAAAGTATAAAATACAAATGGTTTCTAAAATGTATAATAGATGTAGAATTTTAGCTAGTTAAGAGTTTACTATTATTTCTATTCTAATGACTGGAAAAATGGAAGTTGGTCCCACCCATAATGGGATCTGATAGAACAGGCAAAAAGATAACTGATTAAGATCTAACAAAGGTAGTTTGTTTGCTAATTCTAATGGGGAACTATAAATACAACACAAACTTTATTACAGACCACAGTAGCCTGCCATGGAGAAGATAGTTATTTTATGATGGCCTAGCTTCACTTCTTTCCTTTTAATGCAATTCTTTTTCATTGGTTTATAATTTTATTTTATTTTATTTTATTTTATTGGGGAACAGTGTGTTTCTCCAGGACCCATCAGCTCCAAGTCAAGTAGTTTCAATCTAGTTGTGGAGGGCGCACCTCAGTGGCCCATGTGGGAATCAAATCGGCAAACTTGGTGTTATGAGCACTGCACTCTAACCACCTGAGCTAACCAGCCGTACCTAATTGGTTTATAATTTTAAAGGCACATTTTCATGATGGCAATAACCAACACGGTTAGGCTGCCCAGAGGGTCAACTCTTTTTTTTTAATAACTTTTTTCTAGAATATCAATGATGGCCATTTTCTTAACCCCCCACCCAACCACTCACTGGCCTTGTGTGGTGACTTCTCCCCTTTAAGGCTGCTTTTACTGACCTAATAATAACCTGTTGTTAAAGATGCAGGAGACAGTCCTCAGACCTCCCAACTCTCACTCCCCTGGGCTTCTTATTCAGTATCTGGGACTTTGCTCAGCAATGGCAGTCTGTTTCAAATTCTCCTGCTGTGAGCAAGCCAGAGGAGAGTCCTGAACTTCAAAGTACTCACCCTGACATTGTGAGGATGAAGTCCTCCTGGGTGCTGAGACATGTACTGGGCCAGGTCTGTGTCCTACACGAAATGGTGGAGAGACTGATGTTAGTGGTGCTTGCCTCGGGTCCTAAGGCAGACCATAGACTTGACTGTAAGAGGTATTACAAAGTTCAGAATTTTTGAGAATAAGGTGCAAAAGGTACATGACCAGGATTTCTGAGACCCCACTATTAAGGTCAAATACAATGTGTCTTTCTAACTGGCTACTCTTAGAAGGAAGCTTGTTTCCCTGCACAGAGAGATGCTCATTTTATTTTATTTTTTTTAATTTTTATTATTTTTTTTTTTAGCTGAGCCATCCTGCTACCTATTGGTAGCTTAGCGGCTGCTCAGCTCGGGCTGGCATCGAACCGCTGTTGCTCAGAGCTCAGACTCTTGAGCGAGCTCTTAACCAACTGAGCCACTCGGCCGGCCCGAGAGATGCTCATTTTAAACGACTGTCACTGAATACAATGATGCAGGAACTTTTCACTCTCCTTGGAGGCAAGCCAAGTACACATACCTTATGATTTATGTCTGCTAGTATATAAATAATTTTTTTCTTTCAAAAATACAAAAATGAGGTTTTCTTTAGGAAACTTGTATACAATTTTTAAACCCTTGTGATGTATGCCTACATTGTCAATGAAAAAATGTTGGGTTTTGCTCAGATAGTGATTACAAATAGATTTTAAAAAGTAAAAAAGTTTTATATAGGAGGCAGACTCAAAGTGCTTTTTAAAATGATTGCTGATGAGGGGAAAAAAGACAGCATATATAGTGGGTAAAGAAGCAGGATTAAAGAATGAGTGTAAGAACAATAGGCTCTGTTAATCACAATAATGAAAATTTCCATAACACTTTCCACATTGCAATGAAAGTTTTATCATGCCATAAAATATTAACAGATTCATTATACAAACACTAGGCTTTTTACCTCATGCTTTGTAAAATGCTGGGGCAACTCACCATGTATTCAAAAACGAATGTCAGTGTCTCTTTGGTGTGGATTATGTCATGCAGGAGCACAATATTCGCATGTTTCAAACCCTTCAAAAGAGAAGCTAGAAAAATTAAACAAAATGTTAATTTAATCATTGATAATGAAAGTACTGCTTTAAAGATATCAAGCAGTATTTACTTTTTAAACATTTCAAATCAAGCAGTCTGGTTTTTTTACTGCTGGAAAAAAATCTCTTATGAAATAATATTTAAAATCACAAAGGATTTTTATTTGTTAAGTGGCAAGTCATTGTATTTGCATAACTTATTTTTTTATAGACAAGAGCAGTTGCAAAAAAATATGTTTCCATTTACTCAATCAATTTCATCAAAGCACTAAGAGCACTTTGCAAATGCTTTCCTCTGGGAATTTTATCTCTGCTGCAGAGTTACTGGAGAAGAGGCCTAGAGAGATTAAGGCCGTTGGAGGAGCAGGAAATACAGTGTTCTGACTTCTAGAGCAGGACTTTGCAACATGTGAGCATTCTCTAAAATTCAAAGTCCCACAGGGAGTCAGCAGGGCCCATGGATGTGATTGGTAGAAGGCAGGGATAAAGAGCATAGGATAAAAGATTGTTGAAACATTATAGTGAGTGGAGGGGATTTCTTAAAGGGAGAATTGCAAACCTCTGTGGAAAGGAGAAAATGCAAACTTGAAAAAAAGACAGGGCCAAACTTGGGGAGCCCCAGGGAGTGAGAGTGGGGAGGTCTGAAGACTGTCTCATGCATCTTCAACAACAGGTTATTATTAGGTCATTAAAGCAGCCTTAAAAGGGAGAAGTCAACACAAAAGGTCAGTGAGTGGTTGGGAGGGGGGTTACAAGGCTGTCTTTAGGGGCTCCAGAGATAAGAAGACCAGAAGGGTGAAGACCAGAAAAGGCACAATAAAATGAGTCTCAGCTCAGGATATCCCTGCGTAAGGAAATAGCATTCTTAAGACTTAAAGGAAAGGAAAAATTAGGTCTAAAAACCCAAATCAGTGTTCTGCACAGTATGCCTGTATATCATGTATCTCCTGCACCAACTCTCTTCCAGAACTCTGTAAGAATTCTCAGTGATGGTTCTTCTATAGTTTAGTTGTAATTTTGATATTTTCATGAGAGGAGGCAAGCACAGTATTTACCTAATGTGCCATCTTGAGTGGAAAACCTTCGTTGTTTTCTGCCAGAATTTTTAACACCTTCCATATTTAAAATACTTCTATCAGTTGAAAATGCTTGTATTTTATGTGTATTTTTATTTGTGAATTATGTTCATTTTCTCTCCCTCCCCCTCTCTCTCTCTCTCTCTCTCTCTCTCTCTCTCTCTCTCTCTCTCTCTCTCCATACACACATG